GCTTTGAATAAGATGTCTCTTTGTGCTGATTGGGATTGTCTTATGCTGTAAGAGGGGGGCTAGCTGTCCCAATACTTGGTTTGCTTTACTGCATCTAATGTTAATATCTTTATCCGATTTCCCATCTTCGGTAAATGTAGTTCCCAGATATTTAAACTCAGATGCCTGTTTAATGCCTTTGTTCTCTATTGCTACGTTTAGATCTGTCTTCTTTTTTCCTATAGACATTACTTCTGTCTTTTCAGTGTTGATTGTCATATTATTTGTTTTACATTCTTCATTCAGCTTTCATCATTAAATATAATTCTCAGCCGCCAGATATTTGAACTAACATTATTCCTTTAGTATGTTAACGGCCAGTGGCCACAGAGAACGCATATTCCTAATAAACCATTGGACAGAAGTTGTCACTCGTGCACTTTAGGTAATCTGGTGAGTTCCATGGGTTTTCTCTTATCTCTGGGGGCCACCAACTTCGAGATCAACTGCCAACTCGGCTCAGTTCGATATGAACCATTATCGTTTTAACCATCCTCAGTTCACCAGAGAGGATGCCCTCACGGACTACAATCACCAGAGAGTGTCAAAATCACATAGCACTTCGATGACTGAGTTATCCGTGTGGGTTGTGGGGTCCATTATGAAAAAAGGGGGATAGACCCTTTGCTTCCAAAGAAGCATGTCGTAAAAAGCGACGAACTATGGGTTTGGTGAAATCGGAGGTGCTTGGGCAAAAATCGCAAATGCTGCAGCGCAGCTGTAAACCACAATACATGGTGCCAGCTGTCATTTCAAGTACGAATACATAATAAGAGACTGAGCACAATGGGAAAACCTTTCTAACGCCGCCTTCTGGTTTGGTTTCAGTATAAAAACTACCCTGTTCAACATTAGGGAAGGTTATAACTGGGGTCGCTGGTTGTGTGTAGAGTTCTATTATAAGCAAAAATCTTGTAAGATGACCGACTTGTACTTTTTGTAATAATAAACTTTTTTTAAATTAAAAACAAAAAGCTCTGCTTATGCATTTTTGTAAGTCTGCACCCGTTCTTTCCAATAATTGGAAGCTTATATGCAATAAAATGCATAGGGGTACCCCACAAAAACATTGCCTACGCAATTGAAACCTTTTAAATATACAACGCTACACCGAAACATTCAGTTCATTTTCAAGCAGACGTGGACGGTGTCTCTATCGTTAATTTTAAGGAACATTGCTATTCGCCAACTACAAGTCAAAGTGAGGTTGCCGGGTATCTAAACGTGCATCAGAATATCATTGATCGACTTTGGCACAGGTTCCAAGCCACTGGCTTAGTTGAAGACTGGCATTGCCGCGGACGACCCCGAGTGGCAACAGCAGCGGATGATCGATGCATTTGGCTTCGTCACCTCAGAAACAGGTTTACAACAGCTTCCTCAACTGCCAGTCATTACTTTAAGGACATCATGTGTCTAATGAAAACTGTTTGGAATAGACTGCATGACGCTGGACTTTGTGCATCTAGGACCTGTCCTTACGCGCCGCCACCGGCTTTTTTAAAGCGAGCTAGCATCTTCTCTGGGCAGCAGACAATCAATGGAGACGTGTCTGGTTTAGGGATGAGTCTTTCTTTATATTGCAGTCGTGACAGACGGTATAGGAACTACCGTAGGTGAATGTTAAATGTTGAATTAAAAATCGACACCACAACAATCGGGACACTCCCATAAGTGCTCAGTCCCCATCTTCAGCAGCAAACGAAGAGTTCCGATGGTACCAGTAACCGTCTGATTGTATATCCGTCTCATCTTTCCCCTGAGTGTTGAGCGTCGGCCAGATGCCCTGGTAACTTCTCGCAGCGCTATTCTACTTAGACCGTAATGATCTATCTGCGCCTCCGCACTGTTCACTAGCTCCCATGGGCCCTCACAATATATAACTTGTCATACATCAATTCACCACCAAGTGGTGCAGAGCCACTGCTAATTTCCCAACACAACCGGCATGACCTGGAGAAAATATCCAAAGGATGCTAACTACTCAGGACCTCTGAAGCGATGCTTGCCACTCTGCACGAAACATGCCTGTTACCGTAGGTGAAATGAACGTTTAGTCCAAAATTGTACTGACGAAGCTCCGACATGTGGTGGAGATGTAATGACATGGTGAGTGATCAGTTCCAAAGAAAGCAGCCAGTTTGTGCATACTGAAGGGCGCTTGAATGCACAACGATACGTCAGTGAAATTATTCGATCCCATGTTCTTCCATTTTGGGATGCCGAAAGGTCTGTTTTTGAACATGACAGACCCCATTCTGCACGGTTGACCAGGAAGTTACTGACTGCCAGTAACACTCAAACCTTTCCCTGGTTAACCCTGACTGCAAACATGAGTCCTATTGAGCACATGGAAAGTAAACTCTATGGACCACTGAATGAACTAACAACGGCAGTGAAATTTATACAAGAGACAAAACTGCTGATATAGACAACTTATTTCAGGCGAACGAAAGAAGAAGAAGAAGAATTGAGCACATGTGGGGAGAGCTGCAGTAGTGTGTTTGTCACCCAGACGTTGCTCCGTTAATATTCATGATCTGTCCCCGGCACTACAGGAAGAGTGGGCCGCCATCCTACAGGTCAACACCAGACGTGCTATCGCATCTATGCCCAGGGAATGACAGTCGCTGATCGATGTCAGAGGAGGCCACACACCACACTGAAGGGAAAGTCTGTATGCCTAAAAACTATTGCTAATCCAGAAATGAAATAATTGTCATTTGATTCGGTGAACACTAAGGTATTCTTGTGTGCAATTTGATGAATGTTAATTACTATGTTACAAAGATATTGAATGTCACAATTATATGTTACTTTTTTTTTAACAGTTAACGTTTGCCGTGCAACATCATCAGGTGCCTTGCTAAGACCGTTGATTCTTACCCCCAAGAATGGATACATGTCTATACTGATGGATCAGCATTTAAAGCTACCATTAAAGCAGGTTACGGAATCTACATAGGTTATCCCGATGGATCTGTTGAAGAGATTTTTGATGCATGCGGGGAATTCTGTTCAAACTATGAAGCTGAAATAATTGCACTGGAAACAGCAGTATACCACCTAAAGACTGTAATGGATGTTTACCCCTCAAAGGTCCAAAATATTGTCATCTTCACAGATTCAATGTCTGCCCTTCAAGCTCTGGAGGGCAATGAACGCTGCAGAACTGACATAGCCAAGATAATCCTGGATGCCGATCATCTTATTACCTCATACAACATCAGAATAGTGATGCAGTGGATTCCAGGTCACTCCGGCACACCAGGTAATGACAGAGCTGACAGATTGGCAAAGAAAGGAGCAACACAAGAACAACCACCTACAGCGACAACCCTCCAGACAGCAAAAACACTGATAAGAGCTATAAACAAAGAGACTTGGTTGAACAGATGGGCCATGGGAGACACTGGAAGAGAGGTTTATAGACATATGTCTGGCCCTGATCCTAATGACAGCATTAACCATCTAACAAGAAGGGACCAGGCCACCATCTTCAGACTTAGAACGCAACATACTCCACTCAATGGACACCTAAACAGAATACAGCCACAACACTCCCCAGAGTGCCAGCTATGTAACTACCCCTACGAAACTGTTGAACACCATCTCTTTGAGTGCCCAAAACTCAGTGAGACAAGAAGAACGCTACTCCCTCCGAGACCAGACAAGTGGAACACCTTGTACGGAGGAAAAGAACAGCTTGTGAAAACATGCAAATTCCACTACATGGCATTGGGCCAAAGGGCGAAAGCTCATGCGCCGCTGGATCGATAACAACAACAACAACCTTGCGACTGGCGTGGGCGATCACGCCTCTCCATAATCTGCGGTCTCCTGCAGCATGTATCAGTTCGGGTGCCGACACACCTCCATGCCATGCAACAAGACTGTCAAGCATCTTCTCTCGTTGTCTTCCTCCATCCCTCCTTCCACAGATCTTTCCAGTGGTCACATCATGTTTTATTTTCCCTCTTCTTATAACATGGCCGAAAAATGATGATTGTCTCCTTCTGATGTCTGTGATAAGTTGTCTTCGGGCTCCCGCCTCTTTCAAAACCTCTTGGTTGCTCTTTTTGGCTGTCCAAGGTATTCTAAGCATTCTTCTGTAAAACCACATCTCTGAGGGCTCAAGAAATTGTTTGGCCTGCCTACCGATTGTCCAGGATTCACAGCCATATGTGCAGCACATAAACGTAAAAAACAGTATAGGGAAATTTTTGTTTTATTGTCATAAAAGGCAGCTTATCATTGTTCACTTGGATAAGACCAAATCCCCTTGAGTCAGCTGCCCCCCCCCCCGAGAAAATTATAAGGGAACCATACTCTGTCCAATTTTTCTCTTTTTGGTCGGCGCCTCTGCATCAGAGTGTGGAATCTTGCCAAACATTCTTTCAAAATTTCCGGTTACTTTCGCTACCGTTGTCAATGCACCCACGTGACTTCTTTACACTCAACAAAAGCGCAGTGATACATTACCGGTTTATAATGCGATTTCTGCATTAAATTGAATGCAAATATCACTAAACATATTTAAAACAAAATAAAAACAAAATCAACAAATATTTTAAGGCAATTAATTTAGGTAATGGCTGTAGAACTTAAATTGAAGTCATCTTTTGTCGTTGCGGAGTGACTATTTCGAAAATGTAGTACCTCGTCCGGTTGAACGTCACTTCCTTTTCACGTCCAACTTGGAACGGGTAGACGGTTCGTGAGAGGGATCGCAGTCAAGACTATCACGCTGTAGTTAGTGTTTCATAAACACATCGTGACATGTTTTGATTAAACCAGAACTTCTAGTTAAGCTAGCAAAAAATAAAAAAAAAATTTGCAAAACTTAATAAAAAACAAAAAAGTCACTTTTGAAACGTGGTCATCACGCTTCTGGTAAGAACCGCCATTTTCCTTTTCAAAAAAGTTCACGCCACGCCGTATCGCTAAAGTCATCTAACAAAATGAATCCCGCAACAAGTTATCCCATGGCTTCACTGTACGTCGGTGATTTACATCCTGATGTTACAGAGGCCATGTTGTTCGAGAAATTCTCAACTTGTGGCCCGGTCTTGTCTATTCGTGTGTGCAGAGACATGATCACCAGACGGTCTTTGGGGTATGCCTATGTCAATTTCCAACAACCCCATGATGGTAAGTACGATCTCTAATTAAAATAAAATGTGTTGTAATGTGCTAATAAACAATTTTGCTTAAACAGAATTATGTACCTTTTTTAAATTTTAGAGTAACAATAAAATAATGCTTGTTTGCTATTATAGCAAACAAGCATTATTTTAATTTATTGTTACTCTAAAATAACATTCTGCTGTGCCCTAACAGTATAGCAGCTATACTGTTAGGGCACAGCAGAATGTTATTTTTTGGTACCAATAACCACGTCAGTTGATCGATTTGTCATGTCTTTTTAAGTAATTTAAATTTTAGTAGACATACTTTTTAAGATACCAGTGTATGCTGGATCCATGACTGGATTTAAAAGCAAGTCTCCTATCAACTGCGCTAACGCTGCCCCTAGCAGTTAAATAGAAGTGCTATCTGCAGTTTTTTTTTCTTTAGTCTTGTTCAAGAAAACCCTTAAGGATTTAGCTCAAAACTCTGAACAATTTCTGACTAGCACCTTCTCCCATGTGAACCGATCTATATGTATGTGGTTACTGTGAAATGTCTTGGGAAGTAAACGTGCCTGTCAAATGCTTAGTCTATAAATTGCATATCTAGATATGCTAGTAGCATGTTTTATTTGAAAATGTCTTAAACTTTCAATTGACTATGTATGTATGCTGTATTTTGTCTTCACAGCTGAGCGAGCTATGGACACAATGAATTTCGACACAATTAAAGGTCGTCCCATCAGAATTATGTGGTCTCAGAGAGACCCCTCACTTCGCAAATCTGGCGTCGGCAATGTGTTTATCAAGAATTTGGACAAAAGCATTGACAATAAAGCTCTCTACGACACATTTTCAGCCTTTGGCAACATATTGTCTTGTAAGGTGAGAGACTGCATTAGAATCTTGTCTAAATTTTTAAAAAACTATCTTTGTTTGATGTCGCATTTTACAGATAATAGCTTTATGTACACTTGAATCCCTGTGTAAGGTTATGAGAACCCATTATAGAAGAATCCTTGCCTTCTATCAAGTGTGCCATAAAAGGTGACTTAGTAGTTTGCTGTTAATTCACATTAGACACAAATCACAGCCTGGCTGTAAATCACCAAAGTTCCAAACACAATAGATCTAAGTCACACACATTTGTCACTAATTTTATTATATAATTTAGTTTTAAAAAATGTTATCAAATGTTTGTAACAAATGAATTATATGGCCGTGAAATGCATGAACAAATCCTGAGGTGGCCACTATACAACCTTATTACGAACTGAAAATGTAACCGCATTATTGATTTTTGCTTCACTATTTAAATGTTATTAAAAAATTTTTTTTAGACTGAGCCTTTGTTTGAACTGCCTTGTTGAGTCCTGATAATTTTTCTGTACAGATTGCTTGTGATGAACATGGGTCTAAGGGCTATGGTTTTGTCCATTTTGAAACTGAAGAGGCTGCCAGACAGTCCATTGAAAAGGTCAATGGCATGTTGTTGAACGGCAAGAAAGTGTAAGTATAATGTTTGTTCCTTCCGATTGTATATGCTTGCTTGTGAATGTTAGCTGTTTTTATTGCTGGATACAGCAGATAGTACCATCAAGAGCAAGGGGTTGGTTGACAGGAAGGGAAAAGGTCTTTTATAAAAGCCTTTATATAGGAAGGTTACAGGATTGCCAGATCTTTTGTAAAATTCTAACTTTCTATGAGTGCTGCTCAATATTGTTTATTATTATTGTTTTATGTAGGACAGGATACAACAGTTATAGTTTTGTTATGCATTGCTATTGATCTTTTTCCGTAATAGACTTGTCACTGATTTCTCTATGTAGTCAACCATCAGTCAGTGGGGGGATTTAAATGCTATTGTAGTTTGCTGAAATTTATGCAGCTTCTGTCTAGATTTAGCTAACCTGAATCGGTGCAAGGGTGCAGGCTCATCCAGCCATAGTCTTCTTTTTACAATCTGTGCAGCTATGTTTAGAGGACCTGGTTTAACACTGCCACCTGTCATTAGAGCTAAATTTTTTAATAAGTAACTGATCTACAAACATATATTATCACAATCTGTGTGCTCAATCCTCTGATGCAGCAACCAGTCTTACGTCTTTTGCTTGTTCCCATAAGAAGTTGGTGTGTACTTGACCTTAAAAACAAGCACTGTACAAAACTACTCCCAGGTCGTGCAATTACATTAGCATCAGCAATTCATTATTCACCCCACCCCCAGCCTATTCTGTATAGAATTGACATTATGCTTTTCCCTATCTGCATTTCAAAAATGTTAAAACCAATCACTGAAATGTTGTACATTTAGAATTTGATATGGAACTTTTTATTTGACAGATATGTGGGTCGATTCATTCCTCGCAAAGAAAGGATCATGTTGATGGGTGACAAACAGCGCAAGTACAACAATGTGTACATCAAAAACTTTGGCGAAGAGCTGGATGATGGAAAACTAAGGGAGCTGTTTGAAAATTATGGCAAGATCATAAGTGCAAAAGTAAGTGTTTTGTGTCCTTTTAGTTGTAATTATGGATTTTTAACAGCTGAAAAGTCCTCTGTTAATATAGAAAATATTCTTAAAAGTATTCTAACTTTTTAGATTGTCAGATGTCTTCCTACTGAATACTGGTTTGCCCCAGCGGTCTGGTTCTTTGCCTCTTTTTTTTTCTTGTGGCCGATTCAACATACATGTTTAAACCATCTAAATTTACTCAACTCATTCGATTATTTTAAAGAACGATTTGTTGTCCGGTTGCAAACTTGTCACTTGAACCACCTTTCTCCTTTTATTTCTGAGGCTTGAAGCTTGCTTCTGTAAGCTGTTGTCAATAGCTCTACACCTGTAGGTCAGGAAAAACACATAGGTAGTTGCAGATGTCTTAACTCTAGAATTTGAGCCTGTCAGGAATTGGGCGAGGCATGAGATAAATGATCTGCTCAAGTTAACCCCAGTTGCCAAAAATACTGAAAAAGATTTATCATAAAATGCATACATTCTTGGTGTAATTGATAATTTTTGCTCTGTTAAAACTGTTGCCACCGATTTGGTTAGCCTGTGTAGTAAACATTTTGTTACTTGTTACAGGTCATGTACGATGGTACTGGCAAATCTCGTGGTTTTGGTTTCGTCAGCTTTGAAGAACCTGAGGCTGCTGAAAAGGTAATTAGTTGTATACAGTGCATCTTTGGTAACATAAGTAGAAAATACATCACTAGGTTGCACCACTACTGGCCCTAAATGCATCTTGTAATCACTAGCTGCGGTCCAAGTTATATCTGAATTATATTTCACTGCTGCAGTTTTGAAATCTAATTATTTCTTCACATGCGTTTCTCTGAATTGTAATTGCGTTGTCTGTGACACAGCATGGCTGCGATATTTGCACTAGGCCGACACACCGACTTTTGCAGGCATTTGTTGAGCAGGGTGGTGTTGTGCTCTTGTTATCATCTTTGTTTGCCAGGTCACATGTAGTGCCCAGCACTAGGCCGATACACCGACTTCTGCAGGCATTTGTTGAGCAGGGTGGTGTTGTGCTCTTGTGATCATCTTTGTTTGCCAGGTCACAGGTAGTGCCCAGCACTAGGCCGACACACCGACTTTTGCAGGCATTTGTTGAGCAGGGTGGTGTTGTGCTCTTGTGATCATCTTTGTTTGCCAGGTTACAGGTAGTGCCCAACATCAGGCCGGTCTAGACAAGCCATGCTTGGTGCTGTTTCCCAGGCCTATTGGGCATTTAGTGTGACAATAAATAGGCATGTTTCATTTTCTTTCTACTATATTCTGGAACTCTGCATCTCAGGGACTGTCATCTGTAAGTATTCTCCTTCTCTGCTTTGAGATTAGCCACTCAGCTTCCGGTATTTACTATTCTGTCTTCACAAACAGATGTTTTCAGCCAAAATAATGATTTGTGTTTAGCCAACATTTTACATATACAATTGTCAGTGTCTTCTATCTTTTTGACCACATTGTATGGCAGCCTGTACTGTGTCTTGTGTAGTGTAAAGGTCACTGGTTGTTTTCTTCTGTCAAGCTGGAAGTATGCACCATTCTTCTTGTAGCCTGGATTGTACTATAGGCACTTCATATAACTGTTGGCCTCATGTTATGTCTATGTCAGGCTGCTAGTCTTTGTCTTTATTTCCAGGTATGTTGCTAATGACTGGGTTATACATTGTTTCTTGCATATACTAATGAATTTTTAATATCTGCAGGCTGTCACCCTTCTCAATGGAAGCGATTTGGGCGGTAAACTGTTGTACTGTGGTCGTGCTCAAAAGAAGACCGAACGTCAAGCAGAGCTCAAGGAGAAGTTTGAGAAAATCAAGCTGGAGAGAATCAACCGCTATCAGGGTGTGAACTTGTATGTAAAGAACTTGGATGATGGTGTTGATGATGAGAGGTTACGCAAGGAGTTCTCCCAGTTTGGAACCATCACTAGTGCCAAGGTGAGATTCTGGGATTTGTGATAGACCCTAATATTTAGTCTTAATTCTAGACCCTAATATTTATTGTTGTATCTCTCAGTAGAAAATTGCATTATGTCATGCTAGCCTTAGTTTCTATGATTGGCAAAGACATTTGTCAGAAAGTCTTGGTAAATTGTAATATTTGCTTGAATATAACCATCAGTAGAGATGTTGACACTTAAGTCTGATTTATGTATATATGCCTAAAATAACGTACCAGCTGATTTGTATTAAGAATAAAATTGTATTTAAGCTTGATTTATCATCTTATCTTCTTCAATATGGAGAAAAGAATAGACCTGGCATCTGCTTATAAACAGTTCATGATCAAGACCAGAGTGATTAAACAAGAATTTTCCATGAGTTTTCAGCTGGTAAAGTTCAATAGGAAAATAAAGTCCAACTAAGATATTTATTAGCACATTTTATTAGCCCATCACCCTGGAGCACATATCAGATATGTGTGGTCTCCTTCCCTGAATGGGCAACATTAAAGCTGTCACTTGGCATTCTTTGCTGTCCACATTTGGCATTAGATATGCCTCATTGGAATGAATGCTAGGTTGCACAATATATTTTTTAATTTTTTAAAAAATATACTTACTGTTAAATGCCAATGGAGTTAATTATAATGTTTCAATGAGTCGCCTAATGACGCTGCCTGAACAAAATTTTTAAAGATCTACCCAAACTATTTCAGGATCCAGTGCAATTGAGTTTGTGCACAGCGCCGACATTTTTCAGACTCAGATTTTAGTAGAACACGAGCGCTTATGTGTGCCATAATGATTTGTTGACTTATCATAAGCATATTCTTTCTTTCAGTGATTCAGTGTGTTTTTAAACTGTTTATTTCCTCGGATCTGTAGGTGATGGGAGAGGGTGGCAGGTCCAGAGGTTTTGGTTTTGTCTGCTTCAGCTCACCAGAGGAAGCTACCAAGGCTGTGACTGAAATGAACGGGCGTATCATCGTGGCCAAGCCTCTGTACGTGGCACTTGCTCAGCGCAAGGAGGACCGGCGTGCACACTTAGCCAGCCAGCACATTCAACGGTTGGCCTCTATGCGACAACCGGTACTTGAGTATACTTATATTTTGCTTGCAGCATTTGTTTATATGTTTATTTTGAGTCGAGGTCGATAAATGTTTAATGGAAAGCTTATTTACACCACACGGAAAATCGCTGCCAAGTTGTAAACAAGCTAAACACATTCAAAACACACGCACGCGTGCGTTGAAAAACCATTGTCTTGTGGAGTCTGTTGCCTGAGAGATACGATTGTGTTGTGTAGAGAAAAACTAGCTTTTTTCTATTGTTTTGTTTCGATTATAGTAAAAACCCTGAGTACTAAACGTTTCACATTATGCTGGGCTTCTGCTGTGAAATTTCTTCGTTTCATTTTCTGATGCCCACTGGGTATTTTCAGGTCCACTGTATAAAAACAGCAAATATAAATTTTTTCAAAGCAATAATGCTATCATTTTAACACATGGGACTATTCCAATAACAGCATTTACTTAGTCGCTGGTTTACTACCTTGATGTATAGTGGTTTGCCAGAGAGACTTGACACAGTTCTTCATATCAGCAGTTTTCTTTCTAGGCATTAACCTAAGATCACAGAAACCAAAATGGGCTACCTCTGAAGTATTAGATTCAAATTATAGTGGAACCCAATCTTGCTTTTGAAACCCAGCTGTCTTAAAATTTGTGTTTTTGCGCTTAAATAATGAGAGTCCACTTTGCTCTAAAAGGAATTATTTGCAGAGTTAAGAGGGTGTGACTAAATATAGGCTGAGCGCAGGCAGGTCATACCTAGGGCCATATGGGTGAAGGTGTGTTGCAAATTATTTTCATTTATGCAGACCGTACTTGCATAGGTCCATGTGCGGGCAGCCTGTGTAACAAAACATGACACTTAGTTGCCAACTTAGCAAGTAATAGGCGGATGTTTGTTTTTTTCTTGACATGACATCTTAATCTGCAAATTGAAATAGATATACAGATTGCAGTGCCTCATTATTGTTTTTGCTTGTCTAGAACATACAGTACGGTTCTATGTTCAACGCTGGAGGAGCAGGCTACTTTGTTCCCACAATGCCCCAAGCTCAGAGAGGATTTTTCACCCCAGCCAATGTGCCACAAATCAGACAAGCACGTACTCCTTGGGCTCCAGGTGTTAGACCCAACCAGGCTCCAGGTGAGCTATTTTTTTTGATGTTTGCTGATTTTTATGATTTAGTCGTGATCCCTACAATTTTAAACCAACAAGCCACCAAACAAAAGAAAAAGACCAAAGTAAAGTTTACTTGCTGCAGGTTTTACAGTGACCAACTTGGCTGTACTGTAGTTGCCTCTAAAGGCAAGGGTAGGTACTGCGCTGTCAAGAAGGCGGGAATAGTAGATTCCGGTGCTGACAGTGAATCGGAGATGTTAAAATGGCTACAAGAACGTCAGTGCAAAAGTGTATTGCAAGACAAGATCACTGTACATGTAGCCAAAGAAGAGTAATAGTAAACTGAGGACTGGTGTAATCAGTCATTATGCTAAAAATGAGAACCTGGATTGACAATTTGTACTTGCATTACACTTTGTGTAATATTTTTTGTTTTTTTTACAGGATTTCAGACAATGCCTAACCAAATCCGAACTCGGCCCCCTGCTGCTCAAACCCAGATGAGACCAACTGCTATCAATTCCCGACCAATCACAGGCCAGCCAATAGCTGCAGCACGTGGTGTGCCGATTGCCGGAGTTGCACGTCCGCCAGGGGTTTCAATGGCTGATGCAGGGTCTCGTGCGGCTGTTTATCAACCAGGTCCACGCCAGATGCCTGGGCAGCCTGGTCGTCCAATGCCACAGGTAATTGAAATGAAACATAGCTTTTGTAGAGATCAGTGTAGTTGAATCTTTGCCTCCATTTAATATTATGCCAGTTTTTTTTCCCGCACATTTTTTAATGTGCCTAAAGTTGTTAAAAAGGTGTGGGTTCCTTGTTTTGAATTACGTAAAGAGAATTTTTTTCAAGCTATTGAAAACAGTTCAGTATATTCAGCTCTAGTGTGATAAGATGGAAGGCTTTGGAGAAAATAAGGAAGCTGAACGAAAGAGGCAGATTGAGATAAAACACTGATAGATTGCAGTAGTGATTCTGAACAAATATCGTTGGAACAGATCCAAGGCTATGGTTTTCTTCATATTGTTTCTATTTCACTTATCCATTCATAAGAATTGATTTAATAGCATATATATGTAGTGCTACTAAAGCTGTAGCAATGTTATGCCGATCTTTGCATTTGTTAGTCATAATTTAATATATTTATAATGTATGTGTTCTATAATTCAGCCCCAGCAGTCTGTGGTGATAGCAGGACAAGATCCACTGACTGCCAGTATGTTGGCTGCAGCTCCACCGCAGGAGCAGAAGCAAATGCTGGGTGAAAGGCTCTTCCCGCTGATCCAGCACATGTACCCAGAGCTGGCTGGAAAGATCACTGGCATGCTCTTGGAGATTGACAACTCCGAGCTGCTCCACATGTTGGAGTCCCAGGAGTCTCTTAAACTCAAGGTAAGCTGTCTGGTTGATTATAAAACATTACCGTAAACATTTAACTTGATGATTGATTACTTACTCTTGATTTTGTGTGGTGGATCTGCATGCAAGTCAGCTAAATCTGGAAAATCGTGTGCTTGCAAAAATGCAAGCAGCTGGTGAACATAAGGAACATGTGACATGATTCCTTATCTGATTACAGTGATAAATAATGTATTTACAATTCTGTTTGTTAATTTGGGAAGCATTTAACATTTCATAAATAACAGTTAAAAACTGTTGGGCACATTTTCTAGTCATAGGGACGAATGACCTCATTGACAGTGCTTGTATTTGTTTTCTGTGCTGTCCATCCACACTATGCCATCACAGTTTTTGTCGTGATCTAAGCTGAAGTATGGTCGTTAAATGTTGCCCTCACAACAATGTTATATCACACAATTGCTACAAGCTTGCCATGACAACCACACTATACTGTCACTTGTTACGAGCTTGCCACAACAACCACTCTAGCAAGTTTTTGTGTTTCAGGTGGAGGAAGCTGTTGCTGTACTGCAGGCTCACCAAGCCAAAGAGTCTGCTACCAAGAAAGAATAGACTTGCAACAGAGAAAGATTCAGCTGCAGCCAGTTTTTAAAATTTGTTCGGCATGCAGTTGCTTTCATTTGCAACTAATCTTTTGTTCTTTGTTCCGTAATTGTGTGTTTATTTTTAGGTTTATTCGTATTATTTTTTATAAACAACTTAGGGTAGGCAGATTAACATGCTGGAAGGAGGTTAAATTGTCCAACAGAGTTGTGGGTAACCAGTAGCATAGACAAATAAGCTAATGCAGAGCTGGTACGATTCTTTTGCCTTGTATCGGGCGAGTGCTACGTGTGCTTTTGCATTCACATGGGTTTATAGGTACTGTCATTTCATAAGGAACATTCCTGGCATCGTATTATACTGGGTGTCTATCTGAAGACTCACGGTGGCACAAGTAATTGTACGTAGAAATCTTTCTTGTGTGGCATACTCATGTGAGATTGTTGTATGGCCAAAGTTCAAACAAGATCAACAAGCTTACAATGACCTCCAAGATGAGATTATGGCATGGCTAGAATTACCAATTGTTGTAAGTCCTGACAGGAGACCACTTAATGGCATTTGAAACAATTCAGTGCGGAGATCTATGTCAGTTAATCCCAGGTCATTTTGGTTGGTTCAAATACCCACGATTTCATACATAGATTCTCTCTCTCTCTCCCAGTGCTGCATAATTTGACTTAACACATAAGAGAAGCCAAGACACCAGGGTATTGATCTCTACTTAAATGCTTCTTGTGATGCTTTTTCTCAGGCTTCCAGACTTTGCTTGTTGGGAAACCTATTGGATTTGATTTCTGGGTTACCTGTGCCTGACAGGGACCCCTACAAGAAGCATTTAGTATGATGTCAATTCTGATGGTCGTGAAGCCAACATTATCAAGTGTATGTGGACCCAGACTAGAGCTGAAAACTTATATATCTGTTTGATGTTGTACTCTCTGAGTACCTTTGACTTCTGCTGTCTGGTGCCACAGATGAAAAAGCCCAGTTCAAAGGTCAATGTCGGCTTGTGTCAGCCGCTCAGATTTGACCAAAACATCTTTTTTTTCATTTGTTGCATCATTGGCAGCAATTTGTTATTCACCGGAGAATAACAAATCACATATTTAAATCAAAATAATAAAAAAAAAATTTGCAGGTAACTGTTTTTCTGCCGGACAAGGTTTTACTGAGCATACTTGCTGCTCTTGGTCTTCAATAATCATTGCATCTAGTTAATGTGTGGCTTTGTGCTGGGGTGTTTTGTGAACACACCTCATCGCTAATATCTGACTAGTCTGTGTTCACTAGCTGGATACTGCTGGTTTTCATTCTTGGTATTTTTTGGATTATTTAACAAAGTCCTTATTCTTGAACTAGTTTTTTGAATAAACGTTTGATTCGTTTGCAAGTGTTTGAATCAGTTTGTTGTGTGCTTCCTATTTAAAAACAAAATCCCTTTGGGACCACCGGATCTTAGCTGCCAATTGTTTTGTTTAGTTAATCCAAAAGATGAATTAATGTACACACGGTGCGGTTAAAGCGCAGTAGCATGCCATGCTACAGTAGCATAGCTGTAAGAGGACATTTGATGGCACAGCAACAGAAAATCAGACTGCAGTGAAGTTGTGACCTCGTAAGACATAGCTCTTAGAGGGACACTGATATCACAAGGTGAAAACACATCAAGAGGGAGAACATTTAAAAATCAAGGCAGTCCATATTTTTAAAAAGGGGAATAAGCCGTTCCTTATCAGATTTTAAATGTATAGCTACAAAGCGATGAATGGAGTTATTCAAACACTGACTAGGGCTTATGGTAGATAGTAAGTTGGGTTTTTGGTTTATCCTATTGCCCTGTTTTGACCCCCGCCAGCACAAGGGTAGGATATCACCTGGAAGTTGAAGGCGTTGCTGTATGCATTAACGACGTGCTTTGGTGAGAGAAACATTATAATCATTTGTGTGCGTTCACATGTTCTGTAACATTTAATGTCTTTATCGTTAGCGCTTTTTCAAGAAAAAACATTACGTGTATTTGCACAAGTGGATTACATCTGAGGTCGGCCTTTAGTGTTAGGTTGTAATAAATTACGCCCGTTAGGGTCGCCGTTCGAATCAGTACTATAGTATCTGAGAAGCGAAAAACCAAATCTACGAACAAAAGTCAGATATACTGGTGGGCACCTACCCTTGTGCTAGAGTCGGCACAATAGGTTAAAAGCTATTGACCACACGCCCATTACATAACTATAGATGAACAAGATCAGTTCTTTCTATGAGTGCCGTTCACATGTTGTCTAGTGTGTTCTTCTATTTTACTACTTCCTTTCTATGAGTGCCGTTCACAATACTTTCTGTTATTGATTAATTCATTACATAACTAGTACAGTGGTATGCCACGCCCATGACACTAGTACAGTAGTATGCAGAGTGTCAAATTATAACAAAAAATGTCAAAACAACGCTTTAAAAAGACAGCTGATGTGTGCATCGACAAGACACATGTCAGTATCCATCAGAGGAGCTCAAGTTGTTTCTGACCGAGGATGACACAAGACAGGAATTCTAATTCTACTTCTTCTGCGTTCGACATCAGTCATGCTAAACATCGAGTCTCGTCTGGGTCACAAATAGGATTGTGCGTTTAAGGTCTCCCATAGCTTCTCTTTCAATGTGGCTCCCTTGGGCCAGATCCAGTCTTTGCTGGGAGAGGTTAGGGCAGTGCTGTAGTATGTGACTAGGAGGGGTCTGTCTATCTGCTCCACAATCACAGGCAGCAGATTCTCTTATGCCTATCCTGTACAGGTGTGCCCGAAGACCAGTGTCCAGTCCGAAGTCAAAAAATTGATGTTTGTTCTTTCCTGTGGTCTGTAATCTCCATTCTGCCTTCTCCACTCCTGCTTGAAAGACTGCTTTAGTGCCGTTTTGGTTTCCTTGTAGCTGTGTGGTGGAAGATTACTCCCAGCTTTTGCCAACTCATTTCCTTGAATACCACAGTGGGCTGGTATCCACTGCAAGATCAGTTCTGCTGTCTTGAAGAGTAAGCCAATGCTGGTCCTTAGATCTGCACTTAGTTTGTCTTGTTTTTTGCTTAGAGAACAGACAATGAGTCACTAAGCATAACAATTTTGTACCCTCTGTGTTCTTGAGTGATGAGATGTTGCACTGCAGAAAGGAGGGCAGATATCACCTGCTGGTAGAGAGAGAGTTTCTGCTCTACTGCTAGGGAGTAAAATGTATATTCCACAAATCCCCCTTTCTGGCTGCTTCTGTAGCAGAGCCGTCGGTGAAAACCTTAGTCCAAGTGGTGTTTGGATACTTCCCATCAAGCATAGCAAGAGCCATGGTTCTCTGTTGTGTCTCCGTCTGGGCATCTTTTGAAGTGATCCCTGGTACCGTTAGGACTACATTTGCCTTCTCTGGCTTGCTTGTCCATGGTTCTGGTCTAAGTTTTTCGCACAGTGCTACATCTCTTTCAAACAGATCTCGGTGCTGTCTGTACAGTTCTCTAGCAAGGTGGTTGGGGCTCTGACGCTTGTCTGTTTTTTGTTCTCTCTTGAAATTTAAAATGCAGTGGATGACTTTCAAGTCATTTTAATTTCTCATACTGTGAAAGAGTTTTGTATTGTCTTCTGAGTTCGAGTGGTTCAGTATCTGCTATCCTATCTCTCTGATGGGGGTGGTTTTCATGGCTCCGAAAAACAATCCTTAATCCCATATTCTGAACCTTGTCCAGTTTTCCCATTGTTGTCTTGGCTGCTGCAGCCCATGCAGTGGAGGCATATTCCATGACTGGCCTGACTACTTGTTTTAGGATTCTGAAGTTGGCGCCCCATGTGGTACCCGCTAATTGTTTTCATCACTGCAAGCTTCTTGAATGCTTTCCCCTGTACTGCTTCTACATGTGACTTTCAAGTTAGTCGCGAATCAAGTGTAACGCCAAAAAAAGGTCTGTGGAATGAGCTGGTTTTTTAATCAAAATTTTGATTTTTTTCTTTTAAAAAACACAGCACCAGGATGTGTCTGTGGTCCAAGCATCCAAAAGAGCACGAAGCTGGACCTTATATCTCCCTCCACATCTGAAGTGGTAAAAAAGGACGTGAATTAGACCTCTACATTCCTGGGCCCTACTGTAGGGACAAAATAATAGACCCACTACCTCCCTAACAACATGTCGTAGGATAAAACTAACTAGTGGCTTTTTTTTTTAAGTCGAAGTGCATCTGCAAGAGAGGCAAGGAACCAAGAGTCTGCACACAAATATGCCAGAGTTATAAAACTGATGTGGACGCAACACTTAGGTTCTGGAACAAAACTAAAGTCCGGAGGTGGATGAACAACCAGAACTTTTCTACGGAGTTTACAGCTGGTGAACGCAAAATCTTCTCCTAGTAGTGACAGTGGTAATTAGCAAGGAAGTTGGAAGGAAGTTGGACTTGTAAGGAAGTGTTCTGTTAGATGACTGTTTGGATGAAAGGATAAGCTTGACAGTTTAAAAGGTTTTTTTTTTTTGCATACACTGTTACACCTTGATCAAGGCAAAACATTTGGCCAAGAGAAACATCGGTGCAAGTCAAACTTTACGGGTCGCTGAATGAATTACAAAAGACAGTGAAGTTCATACTGGGGACAACATTGCAAATATAGAGAATTTATTTAAAGCAAACGATAGAAGAAGAAAGACGGTTACACCTTGGGATGAATGATATCTTGAATGTCTGTAATGAAAGCATCTGTCAGCTTGTGATATTTTGGTTGTACATCTTCAAAGCGTTTGCTTTCACTTTGAAATGTACCGTAAAGGCAGAGCAGCTATTTTCTCAGAGACACAGGTATGACAATGACCTCCTGTCACAGGGGATTAGGGATTAGAACAGTTTCAGAACGAACCCCAGCGTTGTTTTTTGTTGTTGTTGGTTGGTTGTGATTTCACTGTACAGTGATTATGTTCAATAGTTTGCCATTGCTTTCTAAATGGCTGACTCTCAATGCCACTATCAAAACCAATGTGAGGCTGTCTGCTG